TTATTTCATAACTCATTTTTCTCACAAAGAAATATTTAAAAAAAAAAAAAAAAACCCCTCTAATGGGCAGGGGCTATAATGACTTTAAAAAGTGGAAGTCCTATGATGGGCCCGACTTATAAAGTATTTCCTCTTTCCTTTTCGGGTATAAAGCTCCAGTTGAATAGTGATTATTTGATAATTATTTTAAATCACACTATCACATAATAAAATATTGCATACATAAACTCAATTTTTTAACCACATATTCTCTCAATTTTTTAACCACATATTCTCTGCTATTCAAACAGGGCTAATTACATACACATGCTATGCATTCCATTGAACTTTTGATAAATTATAAAAAAATAAAAATTCAGTGTAGCTTCTCGAGTTACACAGTGCTTGAATAATTAATTAAAGACACATGTTATGCATTCCATTAAACTTTTGATAAATAAGCATGAGTAAAATACGTTTTACAACATTTTTGACAATCCACTCACATCACACGAGTGAGCCCCGAGATTAAAATAAGGAAAAATTTCATAAGTAAGAGATTAAGTATGTCATATTTCAAAATTAAGAAAACAAGTTTCAAACTTCAAAATTCAGATTTTTGTTAAAATTTATTTATGATTTATTAATCAATTAATTAATTAATTTTATTAATTAAATATATTTAGATCACATAACTATACAATTTGGTTACAAATCAACAATTTAATTAGTCACTTATTATTTTTTGGTTATAAATCAGAAATTTCATGTCACAAATTATTTTAAAATCACAATTCAAAAGTTTGTAAGTCATAGTTCGTTCATCGGTCACAAATCAAAAAATTTATAAGTCACGATTTATTTATTGGTCACAAATCACAAATATTACAAATCACAACTTATTATATAGTCATAAATTATCAAATTATCAGTCACAGATTAACAATTTATTAGGTCACACATTATTTTTCGATCACAATTTATCTTTTTCATTAGTCACAGATTAACCAATTTAATGGTAATAGTTAACCAAATAATTTGTGATCACCACCAACACTTACGATTTACATTCACAATTTTTAGGTCACGTAACCAATTGTGAGTCGCGGTCACAATTTTCAAGTTACGTATTTAATTGTGAGTCACAAATCAACAAAATCGCTACGACCACCGCTATGACCATCACAACCATCGCCACGACCAACTGTGACTCCCAAATTGTGAGTTACAATTGGGAGTCAAGGTCACAATTTTCAGCACAGCCAATATCGCTGCTACCACAGCCAGCACCACCTCTTCTACTGTCATTGAAATCCACTCTGCCGCCAAATCCAACAAAAATGAACAAATGGCAACTGCCCAAAATCATCGCCCTACCACCATGACCACGACTAACATCATCATCGATTCTCTGAACGCCAGCAGAACAATCACCTCACTATCGTCGCCACCACGACCTGCAACCACCAACATCTCACCATGACCCCCCACCATCAGCCACCACTCCAACATCACTGCACCTGCGCACCCACCAGATCTACCATCACGCTGCCAACACCATTGAACACAACATTGCACAATCACCGTGTACAACCACTCATCGCACTATACCCAGCCACTGGTCACCGCACACAACCACAACATCGCACCACCCACCCACTGCACAACCCCGATCAACTTCCCCAAACTTGAAACATCAACCGTACACTCCATTCCCATTTCAATTGTCCCTGACATCTTCCACCACCACATGTCCAGATCTGACAAAAACACTCCATCGTCGTCGCCATAGTCGCCACTGTGCTGCCACCAGCACCAACACCAAGCAGCCACCACCTCGGCAGGAACCTCCATGCCACTAACACCAACATAAACTGCAGCACAACACTATTGCGTAACCAAAAATAGGGAGAGTTAGAGCGCTGACGGTAGAGAGTCATTACTGTAAACGGCGACATCGCTTACTTTCCCCCACCGTTGATGGTCGGCAGCTAAGAGGCGAGAATCGAGAGAAATGTAGAGAGAGTGAGACGAGAGAGAGTATTGAGAATTAATTAGGGTTTGTGTAATGGTGTATATATATTTAATAAAAATTTTATTTTAAAAAATGTTAATTAAAATAAAATCTCTGATTTTTGAAATGTTAAACTCCTCATCTTATTTTAGAATTGTGATTTTTTAATGTATGAAATTGTGTAATTTCTACTTAAAATAATTGTGAGGCTCATTCGTGTGAGTGGGCTGTCAAAAAGAGTGTACATGCATTTTTCTTCGATAAATTATATAAAATTAAAAATTCACTGGAGCTTCACGAGTTACATAATCTGTTGTACATTCAGCATTTTTCTTCGATAAATTATATAAAATCATTTTTCTTCAATAAATTATATAAAACTAAAAATTCAGTGTAGCTTCACGAGTTACATAATGCTTGAATAATTAATTAAAGTCACATGTTATGCATTCCATTAAACTTTTGATAAATTATATAAAATTAAAATTTTGAGTAATGCTAGTAGTAGTCGCTCACTATTGTAGTTGTCTTATATGGCATACACGTGACGATTAGTAATTTAATACATTAATATGGTAATTTTTTATTACTTTATGCAACAAATCATTAACCGTCATATATATGTCATGTAGTGCGACTGCATTAATGAATGACTGTAAATAACATTATCCTAAAAACTCAGTGTAGCTTCATGAGTTACATAGTGCTTGAATAATGAATTAATTACTCATTCATTAATCTCCAGTGACATCACATATTTCAGGTTGGAAGAAAATATAGTGCTGTATAAAGTCTCCCATTTCATTGTTTCTTCGTTTGATTATAAAATTCAAAGGGCAATCTTGATTTATATTCAAAATTGGAGTCGATAAAGTCTCTGATTTCATTGTTTAAATATAAAATTCAAAGCATAATCTTTAAATTTGAAAATCCGATCTAAATTTACCACTTACAAAAATGGAACATGTCGAGATACACACGTCATATCCAAAGATGACATTATATATACAACTATGAATCTAATTGATTTAAGTGAATTCCCATCAAAACTCGACATTTACACTTCAATTTTAGACATTTGTGCAACATTAATATTGAAATTTCGACATGTAGTTTTGAAACTTAGAAATTTCTGATGTAGCTTAATTACAACATGCACGCGTCTTGTAATTTGTTCATGAAGCCCGATCGTTGATTTTTCCTTCTTAAGCTTATTTTTTATTAACGACACAGTGTATGTGTGTGTAAAAACACGATTAAGCTTGTTCATGAGCCTGTTTAGGAGTGATTCTTTTCCCAAAAAATTAATTTTTTGACCCGTTATTTGACTATTCCAGTCATCATATTTGACTTCTTCTCTCATGGTAGACCCCACTTTTCTCCTAACGGTTAAAAAATCAATTATTAAAATCACTCCCAAATAGGCTCTAAAATTGAAACCCCTCGCCTACTCCACCTCTGCCACATTCAAATTCATAAATTCAGTTTTATAAATTAAATTAATAAAATAATATAAAATGTTAAATTAATTTAAATTGACGAGTATTATTTATGAGTTTAGTTAATATGTCCTAATCTTGGGGTCGGAACTTTATGTAGAGAGATGCTATTAGTACAGGAAAAATCAACAAAAAATATACTTGACGAGTTTTTATTGAAAGATAAAAAAAAAAAAAGGCTAACAGGATGCTACCACGATAGCACCCTGTCCAAATTCTGTTAAAAAAAGCCTATACTCCCGGCTTAAACCCTTTATGTAACGCTCTTTTTCCTATGTTATAACATGCATTATTAAATACATTGCCTCAAATTAATATTTTTTATAAAATATATTCACGTCATCCCCTCGATTTTAATGTCAAATGGCTATGCTGACGACAAAAACGTAGTATTTACAAGTCAAAAATCAAATGCATTTTTATAATTACATTGCAAACGCTCAATCTTACGTTTGCAATACTTTCTAAATCGGCAATTAAGCTTTTGTTTGGTGTAGCATTTTTGGAGATTTTTTTATCAAATTTTGATAGAATTGGTGCCTAAGATTTGAAATTTAGAAAATAAAGGCCTACAAGATGAACTTTTAAGCACGGATGTAGGACATACATTTTATCCAATATATCATATCTAGCAATGCTAGAGGTACATAATTATTGTACATAGATATGTCTACATCCCTCACATGGGATGGGACCCGCGCAAGGTGGTCTCCATCTCATTTGAGGGGGTGTGGTCACCCTTATGTATAATAATTATGTACAAATAAACTTTTCCATATCAGTTTTAACCTTACAAACCTAGCCAAATTCACATGTTCCACTTGCATGAGAGGGCAAAATCGTAACAAATTTGAAGCTATGTTTGACAATTATTATTTGGGAAAAACAATATTTTGAATAGTGATTTTTATAAGAATATATGATTAAAAAGTAAAAAAATTTTTAGATTTATTGCAAAATATTTTATTGTGTGAAAGTATAATTGAAAATAAGTAAACAGAAAAATAAGGGTTGATTTAAATCTTGCTTTCTATCTAATAACAATTGTAACATTGCATTACAAAAATAAAAAAAAGACTCACATTAGCACTACAAAAATTGATTTTTTGAATACCAGACGAGCTAAATAGATAATCGCTCTTCCTAAAAAAACTGTACAAATAAAATCTCTAATCTGCAATAACTGTGCCAATTGGACCTTTAGTGAAAGAGTAATGTTATTTGCTATTGTTTACTGTTGTAGTCGCCCTATGTAGTATACATGTGATGGTCACTGATTTGATACATTAACGTGGTAGTTTTTTATAATATTATGCAACAAATCAATAATCGCCACATCTGTCACATAGAACGATAGCGATATTGAGTGACTGTAAATAACATTATTTTTAGTGAAATGAAGTATTATTTTTGGCCTAAAGTGAATATAATGCATAATGTACGCTGGCAAGAGTTGTTTTCGTTTCGAGAAGCCATGCCTAAATAAATAGATATGTCTAATTGGACAGTACATGTCTACAACTGACATGTTTGCAACGGAAGAAACGCACATGTTAAGAATTCCATACATCTTTCTATATCTTTCTTTCAATTTTCTTTCGAACTTTCCATAACTAATTTTATTTTCTTGATAATCCCAAATTTAACTTCGTTCTATATTTGGAGTTACACGAATCCGATACTGGGATTTTTGGTTAGGTTTGAAATACGTATGAGCTGTTTGCTGAATCTGCGTCTTTCTTCAAATTCAAATAATTTCATCACTTGCCTTCTTATTTCTGTTCTCCATTGCTCTAAGATCACAGTCGTTCGTATTTCTTTTGTTGTTAAGATTATTCAACTTATTTTCGAGATTCAGCTTAAATTTTCAAATCTTTTTTTATATTGTAATTATCATTATTTTCTTGATCGACGTTGATTTTCGTTGAATTGGAATCATGGAGTCAGAGGACAAGAGTGATTGCCAAATGCAAAGAGGTTTGATTCACCTTCTTTAAATATCTTTTATTTAAGTATTTAAAATTTTGGCTTTTTTTATTTGTTTTTTAGATTAAATAGTGGAACTGACATTATTTTGTGGTTAAATTTGTAGACCATATGCTGAAATTTACTTTTCATAGGTTTTATTTATTATTTTGTTCTAGTTATGGGAAAGTGCTCTTTCTTTATTAAATTCAAGGACATTTTTGGTGAAACTCAAAAGCTGATTAACGGTGCAGGTTTTCTTGAAATCAAATAATAAGATGTAATAATTATAAAAATATTTATACATCTAAAATATTACAAGAAATGAAAGATTGAACATATTGTTGGAAAAAAAAAAAATTTTGAGTTATGGGCCGACTTTGGCACGAGTTTTGAGTGGGACCCGGTTGTTCAATTTGGAAGATGAAAGTTGATTTGTATTCTCCTCCGTGAGTACATCGAAATCATATACTTACTTACCAAAGATGATGTTTGGGTGAACGAGAAATTGAGGCTCAAAGTGTGCCACTCAAAAGGGAGTTTATGTGGGAAAAATGAATTTGTCCCACATAGGAAAAAGATGAGAAACTCCAAAGGTCATTGCCATTAATGGTAGCTTAGCCTATAAATAGTGACTCATTTTCCTCATTTTAATACACCAAAGCAAAAACTTTCAAGTTTAGAATACACAAGAAATTCATTTGCATAGAGTTCTGTCTTTTCTGCATTTCTGTCTTGGTGGTGGTGTAGTTCAAGCACTAGTTCAGTTCACCGGAGTGGTTTCTGCGGTGTTCGGAAGCTACTGGTTTTACCGTTGTATCCTGGGAAACGGACGCTTGTTTTAAACCTCAAGCATGGACGGTGAAGGGGCGAATCTGTTTTAAAGAAATTGTGTGTAACACAGGCCTCGGTTTGAAATTTTATTTCCTACAATTTCAATTATTCTTTCTGTTATTTATTGCAGTGAATTCAATAGTTGATTTGTTGTTCATTCTGTTATTATCCAATTAGTTGTACGACTGTAACTTGCTGTTATATATCATCTTACTGGACAAAAAACATATACGGTATTGAAATCGAGAATACCGAATTCCTCATTTTTCATAAACCGACCGAATTGGTGAAACTTGGGATTTTCCCTACACATATTTGAATCTTGCTCGAGCCAGTTGTTAATCTGCGCTGGTGTTCGAAGATAATCTATTCACTAACACAAACAAAAGGATATATTTATGCAGAATTTGTATATGTTCCTCTGATGGCAAATTTCTTAGTTATTTTTTTGTATATGCGTAGTATCCTCTCCATCAGTCATTGTCATAGGCAGTGGTTTTGCTGGCATTGCCGCTGCACGAGCTCTTCATGATGCTATGTTCCAGGTACATACTCTGTATATATTTAGAACTACCACATTCCCAACTATTGGTCTTGAGAATAGTGTATTTTTGCAGGTTATTGTGTTGGAATCACGGAACAGAATTGGTGGTCGAGTTCACACCGACTATTCATTTGGTTTTCCTGTTGACTTGGGCGCTTCATGGTGACTACAGTTTATTTCTAAAAAGATGTATATTACACTTTGTTTGAACTTTTAGATATCCTTCTTTATTCCTACTAATTATTCTCTTTATGTCGAGACTTCAGGTTACATGGTGTTTGCAAGGAGAACCCATTGGCACCTCTTATCGGGAGACTGGGACTACCTCTGTATCGTACAAGTGGGGACAACTCAGTTTTGTATGACCATGATTTAGAAAGGTTTGTATATAACTCTGTTTACTTCTGATATGTAAAATTTTCTCAATTACTTCAGTTTTAGTTTGTGGCCTATCGGTTTATATATTACTTCTGATATGTTTCAGATGGTGGGTATTTTCTCTTATGTTATCTGTGTTTTCGATCAAATATATGTCACATATGTTGGCAGCTTATATCTTGTTTCTATTTTCAGCTACGCGTTGTATGATTTTGAGGGAAATCAAGTTCCTCAAGAATTAGTCTCAAAGACTGGCAAAACATTTGAGAGCATCTTGAGAGAGGCATGTTTCATTCCATTTAATTTGTATTTGTGGATTTCACTCTATCATTAGTCCTTTCTTTAATAGGAAAGAATTTTTTAGGCATCTTGTTGCAGACATAACTTTCACTTCATTCATGGCAGACTGATCTAGTAAGACAGGAATTTAGCGGGGACATGTCTATACAACATGCAATTTCCATTGTTTTTGAGAGAAGGCCAGATTTAAGGTTTTATCAATGCTATAACCCTGTCAGATTATCATTTTATTTATCAAAGTAAATAAATCTCTAATTTCAGGTTGGAGGGGCTCGCTCATAAGGTGCTGCAATGGTACCTGTGCAGAATGGAAGGATGGTTTGCTGCGGATGCTGATACCATATCAGTTAAATGCTGGGACCAGGTTGATTCCTCTCACTCTTTAGGTCTATTTTCTTTCATCCTTTCATTTCTTGTATCAATCTTTATCCAGATTTTGTAAGTGAAGAAATTACTTTTTATATATAAAACTTAGTTTTTGTGATTGTGATCTCCTAGTTATTCTAGCCTAGAGCAAGATCGACTCAGAATACTAGCTTAGAAGTCACTTAAGCAAGTACTATTCTGCAAAAATTTAAGCTGGAAATTCATAACATGCCCGTAGTTTGCTCGAAATAGTTATTCATGTGTTGTTTGTTTAACTGATTTACAGGAAGTGCTGCTTCCTGGTGGGCACGGGTTTATGGTCAGGGGTTATCTTCCTGTTATTAATACACTGGCAAAAGGTCTTGACATCCGGTTGGGCCATAGGTTAGATAGTCGTTACTCCAATGGATACCCCTCTTTAATTAGATACATAATTTACTCACAACTTTGCTTTTCTTGTTTTTCTATGTGCACTCTTAGAGTTACGAAGGTAGTTAGACATTATAATGGAGTGAAAGTAGTGGTTGAAGATGGGAGAACCTTTACAGCAGATGCTGCAGTTGTTACCGTACCTCTTGGTGTTCTAAAATCTTATTGTATCGAATTTGAGCCGCGGTTACCCCAGTGGAAGGAAGAAGCTATTAATGATCTTGGAATTGGGATTGAGAACAAGATAGTTCTTCTCTTCGAAAAGGTGTTTTGGCCAAACGTAGAGTTCCTGGGTGTTGTTGCAGAGACTTCTCATGGGTGTAGTTATTTTCTTAATCTACACAAAGCCACTGGTCATTCTGCCCTTGTTTACATGCCAGCGGGGCAACTGGCCCGTGACGTTGAGAAATTGTCAGATGAGGAAGCTGCTAATGTTGCTTTTAGGCAACTTCTAAAGCTCCTTCCAAATGCTTCTCCACCGGTAATATTGACTTTTTTGCTTTAATTTGTGTCTCTGATAAAATAGACAATATGATCTTAGGTCTCTGTTTTTCCCTCTCTTATACTGACAAACTTGTTGTGCAGATACAGTACCTTGTTTCTCATTGGGGAACAGACAAAAACTCTCTGGGCTCTTACAGCTACGATACAGTCGGGAAATCCCATGATCTGTACGAGAGGCTAAGGATCCCGGTGGATAACCTATTTTTTGCCGGGGAAGCTACAAGTATTGATTACCCTGGTTCAGTCCATGGAGCATACTCCACTGGCTTGATGGCTGCTGAGGACTGCAGAATGCGCGTCTTGGAACGATATGGAGAGTTGGACCTTTTTCAGCCAGTCATGGGAGAGGAGGTCCCAGTATCAGCGCCCATATTGATCTCCCGTATGTAGTGTAAATTATTCTCAAGTAGCAAGGTTGGAGTTGGCTAACACAAGACGCGCTGAATGCTTCGTGAGGAATTGTGGAAATCAAAAGGTTTTCCAATGAATGATCGAAGCATCAGTTATTGTCGGCTTTCTGACCTTCATTGCAAATAAATAAATTATGATTGAACAATTTGTAGTAGAAAAAGTTGTCTTCAATCATCTCTCTTTGAACTTTTCTATATTTTGATGGTTATGTTTTATTCATAACATAAAATTCGAGTTCAAGTTATACAAATAGGAAATGTTCAAGTCTCCACGAGGTTCAACTGTTCCTCATCTGCAGATTCCTTCAATCGATCAGCAGCTTTTACAACCTGAAATAGTATTCAAGAATGAGAGATTATAGGCAAATTCTACAGACAACCATACCTAAAGAAAAAGACGAAATCAAACATAAGATTTCCTCGGATTTCCAGTTTGTTCTTGCAGTTTGGATAAACAAAGCCAATGTTTGCAAGATAACTTCAATAATTACCCCCTACCAAATTCCCTAAAAACACCAGCATCAATTACATACATACTTAAAAATGCACTCGGGCACGATGGTGAAAGTGTTATTAAGAAGGGCAATGGAGAGCAAAAAGAAAACAAAACAAAATAAGAAAGGAAGAAGATAGATATAGCAACGAAGGTTTGAACACGAAATTAATCTTACTATCTTCAAAGATTATTTGTTTCATTCCAATGCTTTTAAAGGATTCCAGGCAAATAGTTCGTAGGATTAAACAAACTTTTTATGAAGAACACCAAAAAGCAAAAGTGTTTCTTCACAGTGAACAAGTGAAATTTAGGCTTTGAATACGTGATAAAATCTCTCTTTTTTGATGAATAATGGGGATAAATTCAATGTAATCTTTTTTGCACTTGGATCACCTGTTTATAGGCTCAAGCAAGTTACCACGAAATGGTGCAAGAAATAGGTAAAAAGCCACCAAATTTGAATGGAAAATGGTCAAAAACTGCTATTAACGGTCACATTTTATAATCATGTAACCGCATGAGCTATATCCATGCGATTGCATGGTTATAAACTTGTTGGCCCTCCCATTCTCGAGAGGGCCTCATGCGACCGCATGGGCTTACGCCCCAATTTTTATTTTATTTTTTTCATGTGATTTTGTACAAAATTCCAACAATTCCCTACTTGTTCAAAATTTATATTAGTCACGTAATCAAATACTAACACTTATGTGTAAAAACTAGATATTTTTCGATTTGAATCTATTCATAGTGTAGATCTCATAAGATATCATCAGAATTCTAGGTAGCTAAAGTGCTTTGAACCAGTTATTATTGTTATATATTTGTGGTATAAATATAAAATGTGAAGAAAATAATCAAATTAGATAAATTGCCAAAGTGGTGGGAAATGTAACATTTGTGTGGGACGTCAAGGGTTCGAGTCACTCCTTACGCAGATATTAAAATGTATTGATTGGGGCCTTGGGGCTTTGGGCTTTTGGGCTTCCTTGACTAAAATAAATATTTTTTTCTTCATTATTTAATGGGTAAAACTAGCCAGTATTTTCTGACTGTTTGTTTTTGTAACAACCCACTAACAGCCATTAAAAACCCACTACTCATTCATTAAAGTTCTGCATTAACATGGTGAAGACTGTTACTACCATCTTGCCTATATAAACAAATATCTCGTTTTGGAAAAGCACACACAAAAAGACAATAGAAAAATCATTTTACATCAACCCTCCTTTTCATATTCTGAATTTCTTATATTCGGGTTTTACATTTATTCTGGAGTACAATTGAGAGTTCTAGAAAAACCATTCGTGATTGCTGCACAAGTGGTTTACGATCATTGTATCCTGGGAGTGATTGTCCACGGAGGTCGCAGCAATTATTGACGGGCAATTTCAGTTTAGGACATCGTGCTGTCACGAGACTCGATTGGACGATAAGTTTTATATTTCTACATTATATTGTTCAGATCACTACTGCAGCTAATTAATTTTTTCCAACAATTATTTGTGACAATACTGATGAAATCACACACACAGATGTTAAACTTTTCACAAGTTTTAACTCACTTAGTGCTAATATGGCATTGCACTAATCATATTTCATTGAACTATTAAAAAGAGAAAACTCCAATTTTCTAATGAGGCGGTACCACCTCGAAGTTCACATAGGTGAAGTTCTTCTAATATCTTTGTTACTCTTACAGATACTTGTACTCCGTACTGAACTTCATTAAGAGTTTATTTTAACGCATCCCTCTAACAATAACAACCAACACTAATTTTCAAAGCTATGATTTAAATACGTTTAATAGTGTTGAAATCTATCCACTTATCGAATAATTTGTTATTACCCTTTGAATCTGAATATACTAATTAGTATATTTTGGTAGGGTTGACGTTATTGATGGATCTATTTGAGGAGTTTTAATCCTATTTTACTCAATGTTGATCTCACCAACTCTCTGTGAGAAGTTTGGTAAATGGATCAGTTAAGTTCTCACTAGACTTAACAAATGTAAGAAAAATTACTTTATGCTTGATTAATTTCCTTACATACTCGTGTCTTAAACTCATATAGCTAGACTTTCCATTGTACGCTTCATTATATGCTCTAGCTAGAGTAGCTTGACTATCATACAACATATGTATAGAAAAAATATCCTTTTTATCTAAAGGTATTTCATATAAAAAAACTCTTAGTCATTCCGCTTCTTTCCCGATTTCGACTAATGCTACAAACTCTGATTCCATAGTTGAATGAGTAATACAAGTTTGTTTCTTAGGCTTCCAAGAAATTGCACCACCTCCAATAGTGAATATCCAACCTGAACTGAATTTATTTTCTTCGGCACTCAATATCCAACTTGCATCCATATATCCTTCCAAAATCTTACGAAACTTTGTATATTGTAGTCCAAGGTTTTTGGTTTTTTTTAGGTAACCAAGAACCCTACCGATGGTCTTTCAATGTTCTGAACTCGGGTTGCAAGTAAACCTATTCAGCTTACTTAGTTTTCAATGCATCTTGAATTGCTTGAATCAGACATCGGACGAAAAAGTTGGGTAAAAAGACTGAGTATATTACAGTGTAATCGAAGTTCACGATAGCGCCCAACCGCTTTCCCGCAGTGCCCAGGCACTATGTTTCTAATTTTTTTCCCGAAAGTCAGCCCTTAGGTGCCCAATCGTAGCGCTTAGACGCCTCATTGCCGTCAAATAGGGTTTTCAAGTGAAATTTATGTTTTTAAAAGCCCAACTTAACTAAAACTCTTCCAAGACTTGAATAAGACATAAGTACAACTATGGAGAAGAGAATTAGGGAGGATTCCACACATTAAGAGGCAAACAAATACAACTTAAGATTGAGGGAGCAAGATCAAATGGGAGAAAAACACATAATCATCAAGATCAAAGAGCAAAAGCTAGGAATTGAAGACTTTGGAGATTGAAGAAGATTCTTGGTACAAGATCCAACTCTTTCCATGATCAAGATTTCAAAACCCGGTTATGAACTCTATACCTTTTGTTTTTCTTCCATTATCATGAGTAGCTAAATTTATTATTAGGACAAACAATGTAACTTTTTGAGATCCTTTGTTTCTTTTATTCTAGATTCAAGTTCTTTTATGCATATATTTTGATTTTAATTATATTCTCAATGCTTTGAATTCTTTGACCAATTATTCAATGATTTCATGAATAATAATTACGTAAAGATGCAGATTATTTGTTTAGACCACATATTAAAATTCGATAAATTAATATAATATATAGAAATATCTATATTACTTATAGCGGTCATATATGAATTTTTAGAACCAATCTTTCGTTTAACTAAGTTTGATTCGAATAAAGATGTGGAATTGAAATAGTTAAATAGACTCAATGAGAACTTGAGAAGGGTTAATTCAATATAATAAGAGAATTCGACTGAACATTACCTTAGATTTTATGAATATTGATTTAAAATTTAAAGGTGATTAATAGGTGAAATCGTTCCGCCCTAATATCCATTTATTATTTTAATTCTCAATTATTCTTTGTATGCATCCATGTATTGTTAGGTAGTTAGATTCAAAATCATAATCAATCATTGTTCTTGTTTCTTTTTATCAAATAGAAGTTAGAAATAATAAATTGAGTATTAAAATATAGTTCTCGTGGGAATGATAATTTGGACTCAAAAGGTCCACTTTATTACTTGTTACGATCTGTACACTTGCAGGATATAAAATCGACAAGTAGTTTCTGAATCGTAGCATAACATAATAGCAGAAGCAACACTGAGCTTAAAGAAAGCCCAAATGCCCCTAAAAACTTGCATGGAGAAACCAAGCTAAGTCTCTTTGCAAGCAGGAGTCAGAATTATGTAAAGTCCTTGCACAATCACGAGCAACCACCACGAGAAAATAAGCGTAAGATAAGATCCCAATAGTCCCCAGTCGAAAACATAGCCATGAGCCAACTCAGCAGAACATGCAACAAAAATACACCAACGGCCATATAGGCTAAAGTGTTCACAATGTTCTGTGCCTGGAGACACATTTGCATTGGACAGCTAATTGCAAATGCATATAGTTGAAGGATGAGTCCACGAGCAAAAACTTGCCTGTTTTCAGCAACGCTATCTGATTGGCCGATGAATTTGAGGATGCACCCTGAATACCAGTAGACGAATGTGAGGATAACAGATGCACCAATATGCAATACAATTGCTTTCTGGAATATGATTCCCATTGTTCCATATTGCTTTGCTCCATAAGCTTGCCCACAAACTGTTTGAACAGCACTTGCCATCCCCAGCTGCATATAATCATCATTCATCATTCTAAGAGAAATTTCAATAATTTTGATTTCTCAAAAAGATAGAACAGATATTAAGCTCTTGTTTGAGCCACATTATTTTAATAAGAATGCATTTGAGTAGTGTATTGATGAGAAATGTATGGTTAAAAAATAAGGAAAAATTTTGAATTTGAGGGTAATATTATTTTATTGAAGAATGTGTGGTTGAAATAATGTCAAATCACTGTTTAAGAATGTATTTTTTTTGAAAAAAGGTGGATCAAACAAGGCTTTAATACTTACCATCACTCCATAAGCAAGGCCTTGAATTTCGACACTGGCAATGGAGGCGGCTGCTAGCTCGACTGCGCCCAAGTGCCCAATGAACATCACTGTAACAAAACTCAGCATGTAGTTATAATAGAAGCTCCAGATAGAAACCACAACAATTTGGACTCCCATGTAATTAGTCCAGGGTACAAACTCATCAGATTCATGCCCACTGGCTTGTTTTCCAAGAATTCTTCAATTGAATCAGCAGATCAATCCTGAAGCTGATGCAGCAATGGCTGGTTTTCTTCGGACCTCATCTTCGTTTACTTTTTCTGACGTTACATTGAACAAAATTTGAACTTATTTAAATTTCATAGTCTCGATTCAATCTATTAGACCAAACATTCTAATAGTGTACCTGACATTCCAAGCTGTAGCTGAATAATTCAGTTGGAAATGAGGCATGTATGTTCCAAACTACCAGGCTGTGTAAATACTTGGTGTTAGGACAAAAGCATATGATTTTTGTTAGTAAACCTAAACTATCAGATGCATGTAAGAAAGAGTACAAGAAGATTAGAGAGGTAGTTGGTACTGTGCTATACATAAATTCATTAGCTTAAGAATAACAAGTTCTATTGTTTAGAATAACAAAATGATTATATTTATCAAGAAGTGCAAAATTCAGTTGACATGATTGATTAATTGGATTTTTTCTTTGCGGGTTCTATAAAAAGCTTTTATATATGTGCGACAACATGTTTGGCGGAACTTTTAAGCTTAGCCAAAGACGACCAGCGAGTAAAATGTTAAAACTACGGATAAGGAAAATGCTAAAACTCTCGAGTATTGTTATTAAAAGGAGAATTGGCACAAAACTTCTTTAACCTATGAGATCAGTATGTAGATCGTCCCCGATGTTTGAATTTTGGCAATTGACATTGACATAGTGAATAGAATAACATGAGTGACATCGTTTTTGGCTAACCTTAAAAGTTCTTATGTCACTGATTAGATCCTCAAATAATTTTATTTAATAGAATTATTCTTCTATTTACGTTAAAAAAAGTAAAATTTGAGGACTTTGTTTGAAGTTTATCTGCATTTTAATGATGAGAACAAATTTAATATTAATTATAAATTTGTTCAAGCCACTCAAGCTGTTTCAGTGTAATTACAAATCAATTAGGCTTTGCAAGAACACAATCCCTTGTGTTTCAAAAAAATACCTTCCCTCTACTTATGATTTGCACAGCTTATATTACATTTTTAGCACATTAGTTAACTAATTATGAACATAAATTTAATTTATTTCAAAATATTCGTAACATATACAACACTTTACGCATAATATCAATTTTATTAATAAAGTCGTAATGCAAAATATATAAATAAATGACAGTTAGATTCAAGTTAATTGTTCCAATAGTCATTGAATTTAAGTCCATATCTTTGATTGACCACTGAACTTTAAAATATCGAGTTATACTACTGAATTTTGAAAAATATCGAGTTTTGACCATTGAACTTAAATCCATGTCTTTGATTGGTCATTAAAGTTTAAAATGTCGAATTTTGATCACTGATTGGAGGATTGAAAAAACTGTTTTCAACCCTCCAATGATGTTATGTTACTTGTACATTTTGGACATCATAACATACATGTGGCTTAATACAAAAAATAATCATTTTCACATTTTTAAAATAAAATTTTCATATTTGTTAACTACACATTCTTCAAAAACCACTTTTAAAAATCACTTCCACACAAGCACGAAAATGAAAGTGTTTTTAGGATCCAATCCTTGACACAAGATTTTTCATTTTTTAATATCCACTAGATGAAAGTTTAAATATTAAAATAATTAATTACTTAATAATAAAACTAATAATTTCCTCTGATATGTTAGTTAATTAACTATGAGCATAATTTAATTTATCTCATACTATTTCATAAAATACACAACAATTTAAGTATAGTTTCAACAAAGGACTATTTGTACCAAAAAGTAGAAGTTGGCGACCATTTTCCATTGAAAACAAAGCTTAAGGACCATTTGTGTCAAAGTATCGCTAATAATTTAACATGTTACTTTCCTTCAAAGTGGTGCATTACATGCTCATAATTTACTGCTAATTTGGATGGAAATTGTCAAAAAAAAAAAAATGTCTTACAGAAATGAATTGGTAAATTGAGGACGTCAATGCCAAAATTGATACTTACGAACATTTTCGCACTGACCCCATAGGTCAAGGACGTTTTGGTCAAATTACCCTTTTTGAAGTGATTTTTTGAACCGTTCGATAAGCGTACTTAAAGTCCTAACTTTAGCATGCATAGAATCTTTGATCACAGATCGGCAGATGATCCATCCCTTCTCTCCCTTTCATCATAATGCATCCAAGAACAAAGAAGTATCAACTTATCTTAAAAAATTGAATATCCCTCATGTGAAGGCTCATATGTCGATGGATCTAAAGGTTCCATCAGGAGATCCCGTCTCAAATGGCGTGAAAACACGTAAAAACTCTAAATAAAAATGAAAAAGAGACGTAACTCTAATTCCTGTTGAGCTACATTTAGAGCGACGTACACATTAACCCCGATATCCACTTAAATGGATAGACAACAGGCTCTAATAACTTGAACTTATTCGTGTCCATCGAGCATAGTTAATTGACATTTTGTCAAGGCTTCGTGCCACCAAGGAGAAACGAGTCATTAGGGGTCCAAAAAGAGGGACAATTAAACATGAATCTGTCAGCAATATCCAGAATAAAGTAGATTAAACGTAGCCATCTTGACCACCACCCAACAGATTTTGACAGTTCCAACAATACCAAAGAGAAGTTTTATAAGGACGAGTATTCACGTTATAACATAAAAATCTAAATAAGTAGCATACAAAGTTAGATTGATCGACTTTAGCTAGATAGAGCACATATCCAGAGGCACCAAAAATATTTGCCCAACATAAACCATGGCCATCATTGAGTAAAATACGGTACAGAATAACCTTTGGAATAGTTCAAACATCAGTAGTCGAGTGACCCCACGGATGTTATCCCATTTAAGTTACTTCTGGTGGCCTTACGACTCGCATAATCATCACAGCTGGTACCACTGCTGGAAAGATTGTGCATTTGAGCAGAATTTGGAAGGTCAAGTCCCTCTTTTCCCATCTGCTGCACTTCAATTGGTGATAGGATCTTGATATACCAGACGCTGTTTACAAATTCCCTGAAAAAGCCAAAAAAAAAAAAAGAAAAGAAAAAGAAAAAAAAAAGACACATGATTAATAAAAAGGATTCTTAATGACGACAAACTAAGCCTTATTTTATAAATTTGGGATGGACTACGCAGGAAAATTTCTCCACTCTATTCAGTTCATGAAGCAAAATCCACAATAAATCCAACCAAAATCAACCGGCGCATCCGTTAGCTGCTAACATTTTCAACACCCAGAGAGACAACTCATTTTGTAATTTAGCTTAAATTGCTAACAAACATTTTCTCAAACTTGATGCCAGATGATATGGGTGTTGACCTTGAAAATCAAGTTGACAAATAGACAGCTCATTCTTTTATTCAATTTAATACCAAAGACGAGACAGAATCCTCACACAATGGTCGACTTAACTTACACGAGCAAGGAAGTATAGAAATACTAAGGCAGCTTCAAAAGATAAGAATTTCCAGGAGACTAATTTATGCTATGATGATCCATAAATTTACAATATTGGAAGCAATATCAAACTGCCAGAAAATGCTCAGCACTTACTGCCAAGGGTCATCACCGAGGAGAAGAATATCATTCTCTCGGTCAACAAATACAAGCTGCCAGCCTGATCTCTGAGGGTTTTCCAGTAGGCCTTCAAGGCCAAATAAGCGAGCAAGCTCACTTCGCAGCTCTTGATAGCTGCTAAATTTGGAAATATTGAGTGATCGTCCAAAGGTCCCTGACTTGTAAACCTGCAAGAAGTAAACTATTTGAATAGTTTCCACATGAAGAGAACCAATTATAGCACAAAGAAAGCCAAGCATACTCTTGGGGAAGGAAAAATTCCCCTACAATATGAATCAGAAAAGGTCATAAATATAGTGTAAAAACTAGTTCGTTTGGGTGACACCACCTTGACAACGTGTCTTAAGATGTCTATCAGGGGAAAAAAATAAGGAAAAGTCGCATCATAAAACAAAATAATCAATCAGAAGAAAACGCTTCATACGGAGCTAGAAATGTATGAGTTCATCCTTCCATTTGTGAGCCCTATATTAAATGCTTAAGAGGAATACATCAGCACTGGAGTAGCACGAAAATCATAAAATACACTAAATAATAGGAGAATTAAATATATATCGATGTAAGAAAAGTAGTAGAACGGAGTCAAACAACCTAAATATGCTTCAAAATTTTAAATGGTTTGTAGCAGAACCTTTCTTTCTCAACTTGGTATTTACAATTTGACTTGATAACCTTTGTTTAAGACCTAGTATGTAGTACCAGCACCTAAACAAGTAGTAGTTTGCTGACAGCATGAATTGATATCTACATTTTGAGTGCTAAATACCCCTCCATTTTCATCCCAACATGTAAATTCTGAGCTATGAAAGACTCACAAGGTCATAGTGTGGGATCAGTTCAATTTAAATAGTTAAATAAGTGTTTTAACTGATCGTCAAAATATAGGGTAATTGACCCAAGTAGGTAGCTCCAGTAGAACAATAGATCATGGTACTGTTTTAACTGAGTTCATCCCAACCAACGCGCGCCTCCAATGGTGTCCCATTTAGGATGATTTCTCAATGATTATAATTCTATATGTTCCAAAAGAAATGTGACAGGTACCATACAATAAAGTGAAGGTTGGAAAAGATAACAATCTAACTGACCTTCACAAAGGTTCGATCGGGTGCATTGCTTTGATCCACGTTTTCCGAAGACTGCAAGAAACCTGATTCATCTACACAACTTGAAGCAGTCATGTCTGAGCTAAGTGGAAAATTGGTGCCCGTGGCACTAGTGAAAGTAGATGTTGCATATGGCATAGAAAATGATTCATTCTCGCTGCTATTATTTCTAAGGTTTGACATCCCATTCTGTAGCATAAGAGACGAGTCTGTATTAACTCCAAACAACATATTGTTATGGGAATCTGTCACACCTTGAAACTCCGAAAATTCTCTGCCAGGAAATGGTGGCAACAAGGTGGAAATCTCAGGCACTTTAGAATTACGCATCATGAATTCTTCTGTCCGGGGCACTACAAATTGTGAAACCCTGGAAGGAAGTTGAGGTTCTAACGCAACTCGTTTTGATAATGAGGAAGGAGAGACCAGAGGGCTAGGTCCATGCATGCTCTCTAGGTGGGATGATCCTTCAGAGGAAAATGATCTTACACGACTTGCATTATTAGATGGAGTTATATGGTTCTCTACGAGGTCAGAGAAATTCTGTTGCTGGCATATAGATGGCACAGCTTGCAAAGGCGTGAACTGGGATTGAGTGGCTGCTATGTGAGAGCCAGTAGAGATGGTTTTGTTAATTTGCTGTTGATCTTGGAATTGTTGATGTAGTTGCTGGGATTGCTGAGTTTGAAGCTGTTGCTGATCATTAAATGTCTGATGCCGCTGCAATTGCTGCTGCAGAATCTGACCCTGTGATATTATTTTGCTTTCTGGATAGCCCTGGAGGAAATTTTGTTGAGGGTGGGACTGTTGCAATATCTGATTTTGGACGAGTGGAACAGAACTATTGGGAACATTATGCTGAAACTGCAGGAGGGACTGATTGGCAAGTTTGGAAGGATCTAAAGAACCCCTTTCCTGGAGAGCAGCAGCGGCCATTGATTGGTAAACATTAGGTTGTAAACCAAGCATAGAAGCACCAAGACTTGGCTGCATCCAGGGGTTTACACCAAATGCCTGGAAATTCAGTGCATGTAAGCCCTGATCTCCAATACCACCACGAAGCCATGCAAGTGAGGAATTCATGTTCATACTACCGCTATCTTTAAAACCTAAATGAAGCAAGAGTAAAGGCTTATGATAATCAGCCAAGAAAAACCTAAATTGAGACAGAAAATGAAATAATAACTTTTCTGAGACAAACTATTATAAACCACACCAGGGAAGGGGGGCAATCCAGATGGCCATGGTCGCTTCAGTCTGAGGGAGAATGGCGATGGATACATGGGAAAGGTCGTTAGTGGTTCAATCTCCCACAAGGAAACTCGGGGTTGCCTCTCCCCTGCAGTTGATTCATCCCAACCAACCTGCATAAACAAATAAAGGATATCAAGCTTTAAAATCATCAGGTTTAAAGGTGAAGGTGTCATACATGGATGAAAAAACTTTATACCAGTTGAAAGCTTCATAACAAATGCACAGTTGAAGTGTGTGGAAAACAAGAATGGAGACAGTTGACACTCTATTGGTCAGGTCCCAATGAACAAAACTCAGTACCATAACTCTTTTTAATCTGGTCCTGGAGTCTGGTCCAGGAGTTGATATTATTTTAGATTGCAGACATGGGCAGAATCACTTTGGAAGCATTTTTTCTTTTCTTTTCAATTTTTCTTATTTCTAGGGTGTGAGGAAATGGAGGAGTTGGTTTAATCTAAGCATACCTATGGTTACATCCAACATCCCATTTGAGACATTTGTGCTTTAGTATTGTAGGATTGAGAAACTATGCTTCTTCAACTGACAGGTACATGTAATTATGTGAGTATATATATCAGCCTTGTGTGTATTTATACGTGTACAAATTGAACCAAGAACAGGAACATGAGTGGACAGGAATGGGCCTTATTTCAGTGGGTTGCTTAAATGGTTGACTTAAGAAGAAGAATAGGAGCCTGGCCTCTTGTTTCCTTTTTCTCTAGGCAAGTTTGGATGGTAATTTTAGTCTTCAGCAAGTTTATGCGGTGATAAGTGAAACAAAGAGATCCTATATAAAATTTTCTAGTTGTCTTATTCAATTCTGTCTGGTTCAGAATATTAAACAAGTACTTAAAGATATATATATATCAGCCTTGTGTGTATTTATACGTGTACAAATTGAACCAAGAACAGGAACATGAGTGGACGGGAATGGGCCTTATTTCAGTGGGTTGCTTAAATGGTTGACTTAAGAAGAAGAATAGCGCCTGGCCTCTTGTTTCCTTTTTCTCTAGGCAAGTTTGGACGGTAATTTTAGTCTTCAGCAAGTTTATGCGCCATACATGTCTAGAATGAGATAAGTGAAACAAAGAGATCCTATATAAAATTTTCTTGTTGTCCTATTCAATTCTGTCTGGTTCAGAATATTAAACAAGTACTTAAAGATCAGTCCAGATCATTTTTAAGGTTTTCACCAAATATATGTCAGTAAATTTGTAAGATCGAAATAGAACAAGTTAGTAAATAGGAGAAGTAAACTAAAATAACATAATTTGACGTAGTGGTGCCATTGATGAAATGAAACTGCAAAAAGAAAAAAAGAGTTATGTACCTACGTCCAAATGTATTTATTAATAATAAGGCTCAATTAAATTCCTGATTTAAATCATGCAAAAAGTTATTAAATAATTACTGGCACATATACTTTAATAAAATGTGTTTGAGATAGCATTCCATAAGCGAATGAACCTATGTAATCATACTTAATTCTTTTGAACACAAATTATAGGAAGGACTTAGGTGATTGAAGCATACGGCATATGTTGTTTAGATATAAAGAGACTCTTCTTACAAAGAGATGCAATCTCAGTACAACACTCTAGAAGAGGGAGTATACTAAAACTAATGATGTGTACTGATATGCGTGGTATTAGGCAATAAGACTGGAGCCAGACAACAACAGAGAACAATATATGAAACACTGGTAATTAAATGCTTGCTTGGTAGTGCTTTTATTATAATTAGCGGGTCCTACAGATTGCATAGATAAGTGAATAATAAGTTGTGGATCATATGAAATGTGTGGATAAAAAGTATATTTGACGAGCTTAAAAATATTTAAGCTTTGCCAAACATGTAATAAAATGACCAAAATGCTTAACGAGAACCATAAAGTGGAAGAGAGGATTCTGCCAATGATGATGGAGAACATGAGAGAGTGCATTTGACAAATTGAGGTAGCAGTGTTGCTGTCATCACAATCTGTTCTCCTCCACCTTTCCAAGTTTACAGCTGCCCGGTTTGGCATTTTTCACATCTCCCTTTTAAATAATGAGGTGAAAAAACAAGTGAAGAACTGAAGCACTATGTAGCTGACAATGTATGGCTGAGTTATTCAGAGGGAGAAATCACTTTTGGTGGTGTAGGAGCTGATGGTGATGATTTGGAAGGACTTTTTCATGCTGCTTTTAATGGTTCAGGAGGTGGGGGAAGACATTATTTGAATTTCCCCCTTTCAGGGCTCTTGGTGTTACTACTGGTGGTTCAACGTTTTAATTATATCTCTTTTGGTAGTTTTGATGCAGCAGTGCAATGACTGAGGAGTAGGAATACATTGTCTTACATTTGAATATATTCGAACATTTCACAAAAGAATAAATGCTTTTTCTATGAATGTAAGTGGATGCAAAATGTAAAAGTAAATACAAGTATCTCCAGTCATTCATGGTTATCAATTAGTAGATAACAAATCCTTGCATAACAGCACGCTTGTAGCAAATTGACTCATCAACAGTGTTAAATAAAAAAAAATGGAAAAAAAAAAACAAAAAAGCCAATGCATGCATAAGGCTATCTTTTACTAACCTTCACTGAGCGCCAATGTGAGTTTGGCCATCGAACAGGATCCAAGTCACCAATGCCAGTAATTGTGCCCATGTACCTGAGTTTTAAAATATATAAATGAATGAATGAATGAATGAATTTTAGTACAAACCATACCCATAAGTCTTCTGTTTGTATACTAGTTTTTATATTTTCACGACATTTGTTTACATGTAGATGAGTAGATAGACGAGCAAACAGAAAGAGAGAAATCAGAGTTCACGTCAACTTGAACATTCTGGTTATATAAAGAAACTAAACAAAAATGAGCTTCATCAAGTCAACTAATGGAGATCCCAAGCACACAAGGCATAGAAGCATACAGCATTACACGCTGTTATGAAATTATGATACCAGATGTAACCCAGGTAAACACTGAACCCAGAAACTGACCTATGCCTGATGCTATTCCATTTCAAAATCTCTGAAATTCATCTATTAAGTTCACCAGCTACAGCAGCATTTAGGTGTGACATTAAGTTTGCATGCAAGTGTATATACAAGGAATATACATTACAAGGACAACATTCTTTTTTCTCCCTTTTTGATGAGAACGTTGGAAAAAGCCAGACATACCTACGGACACTTGACTCTTCTGTTTCAAAAAGCATCCGAAAGCGCATACCCAAAGAAACTCGGGTATGATACAAAGCTTTAGCATATTTTGCAAGAGGTATTACAAACTCTGATGGACTAGCCCTGAAATTAAGAAGAGCATAAATGTAAAAAATAGCAATATATAGCTGTATACCACAAATACTAGCAGATTCTTCACCTTGGATTGTAAAAGATGCAGAAACGACTATTCGTAGCTGCTGCATGAGCTGCAGCAGCAAGAAGACCTATATGCATGCTATCGCTTGATAAAACCGACGATGGCATGACAGTTTGTGGACGATTAGCACGCCGAATTCCCAATAACAACTGATTATTTTCATTCCTGATGGAAAAAAAGGAAAAAACTTGATTTAGAGCAACAATACTTCCAAAACCTAAAAGAGATGAAACTGCTTCGATGAACCCCAAATCTGACGACAGACAGATTTGCAGAGTAATTGTATCAAAAAGAAGTTTCCTCTCACAACGCGAGACCTAATACTTTCAAAAGTTTCCAAAGGATCTTCTCACTGGTTGTGAAACACAATGGGGTAGAAAACATAAAAACTTTAGTCCAGATCACTATGCATCAAGAAGAAGCTATACCAAGAGCTCTTTCCCAAGGGACCCACAGAAGCATCTTTCTAAGCTTCTTAATGAGTTTTATTCTCTCAACCAACAAGCTACAGAAACATACTTAAAAACAATAACATGAAATGGGTATGTATATAAAATTCTAGCATATATTAGCACACATGCAAACACACATAAGAGAAGGAGATGCAAACACGTGAAAGCTTATTCATGAAGATCTCACATGCATGCAGACAACTGTGCCTACCAGATGAAAATCACTGAATCTCCAGCAACAAGTCGCTTTGCACTGACGAACACACTCCACCCTGTCGTAAGGAGATGCCTCTTTGGCTGTCCTGGAAATGAAAATAAGATGAACTGAAATTTCAGAAGTTGGTCACCATATCTAATAAGCAAATATGATCTCCGTAGATTATACATGAACGTCCTTAGCCCTTGTTCAGTAAAAAGGAAAATATACAAGAGCTAGAAAAGAAAATTGTCCAACAACCGAACTAAGACACCATGATAATCCAGAGCCCACCTTCAGCAAATCTCTTTACATTTTCCACTCAATTGCAGAACTAAATAAAACTTGTTACCTAAATTAATGAGATAGACAAGAAGTTTTCCTGATGATTTTTTCCGGTCAGACCTGTTAGTTCATTACTACCAATACCATTTGGTTTGCTTCTCTTCCAAATCACTAAATCAGAGAGAGGTTAAATAGAGTTTTTTGGACATCTGACATGTCATGTAAGTAAAAATGGAGGTATTATGGAACACATTTATCATTATGCATAAAGGGAAGTCATAAGACCTCAAAGGGCCAGTGTCCATAATAGTGATCAGGCCATTAAAAGTTTCTGCAGTTTCGAAGCCATTTTCTCCATTTCTCGAAGCACATTTCTGAACCTTCTGTTCGGTAGATTCTTTCTTCCAGGCCTTTGTTAGACATAAGAATTGAAACTAGCCAGATGGCACACCAAAAAATAAAAAATAAAAGTAAATAAATAAATCCCGTATGGCAGTTCAACAAGTGGCAATACCATGAGTCTTCTACACACCTAATTCAGCAATAAAGGAGACCCAGACAAGCCCTCAGTTGACTCTGCACCAATTTAATCAGCCTCCTCAGGATGAATGCATGAAAGAAACCAGATTTACTAATTTATTATGTCTAATGCTTCTTCATATTAAAGAAATACCACCTAGTTAGATCTACAGCATTGTGATATTGCCAGAACAATGTGCTACCAAAATCTAACTCAACTTTTCAAGTCTCAGTCAAGCTGTATGATTCTTTTGGGTTCCAGCTAGTTGCCATCTGTAATTGCCAGCACCAAACTTCCACAATTGCAGGAAGCTAACAACCACCCGTATGTCATTTTAGAACTCCCTTGACTATCTAACTCTTAAGTGGCAGGCCTGAATAGTGCTCGCAATTATACAGTAACCATCCCCTCATCTCCAATTAGCCCTCCATAGCCCCGCACACCCCCACCCCAAAAAAAAAGGATGCAGAACAAAAAAAAAAAAAAAAACATCAGCTTTGCCACTTTGAAGAGTAAAAAATAAAAATGGAGCAATTTCTGGATTGAAATTTTGGGGGAAAACCATTTTCTGATAAATAGAAGGACATGTTGACAAGGAAGTAGCATACCAAGCATTAAGAGTGAAATGAGAGGACTAAGAGAAGCCATTGGATTGGGCATGGAAACAATATGCTTGCTTAAATTTTGTAATCATTGAAGAAACTGTACACCGATAAGGAAATTTACAACACTTTACAAAATCAAATTGAAGAAATTTCAAGAAAACATTTCCTAAGGGATACTCACCTCGAAAAATATGCCTGAACTTCCACTCATTTCCATGGAGATCCTTCGCAATCAACTCTTGACAAGGAGGTGTTTGAGAGTAATCCTGAAGAGGCCGTAGATGACAACTTAGACAAATAACAGCATATCATAGAAAATGAGGTCAGATTCTGGAGGTACGATCAAACATACAAGAGAAGGAAAGACTTTCTCAGCAGATCGGCGAGGGACAGAGAATCCTCCATGAGTGCTGGTGTCACTTGCAGTCAAAGTTTTACAGAAATAATTGGAGGGCTGTTTACTAGGGGTGCCAAGTTCTGCTGGAAGCAGGCATAAGTCCTTTTGCTCATCCTAACGAAATCAATGAGTTAATCAAGAGAGCAACCACGCAATATGAAGATACACAAATAAATAAAGATGTCAAAAGAACAGTACAGGACTGAGTGGTTGCAAAGTCATCTGTGCATATACTTCATCCGTTTCCACATCTGCCTGATATAAGAACAAAACCTGTTCGTATGTATACAGTGGGAAAAAAACATACAGATGAACAAATATAGAGTTCTAAACGCAACTCACATGCATAGTCACATTGTGAAGCTGGCATATAAGTTGTGGTGATAAGCCAGGATAGCTGGGGCTAGTAGCATCTACTTCCTTGTTGGTTGAGGCAGTAACCTGTTCATATATAATAATTTATAGCACAAATTATTAAGAAGTGTGAAGGGCTAAGCAAAAGTAACACCATATAGATGCAGCTTTCAAGTGACATCATTCCTGAAGCTTGAACAACAATTAGCCCCCATTTGATTCTCATTCTTATAAGAATAAGAATGAAAAATATAACCGTTATGGAACCCACACAAGAGAGAAGAAGTCAAATATTGATGTGATGAATAACAATCATATTTTTCATTTTTTTGGCCAAAGAATGGTAAACAAACAGGGCCTTAATTGCAGAATAGCCACTACAATAGGACTCGTGAGAAAAATTTCAACCAACACACCCCCTCAGCAACAAATATGCAGAGAAACAGTTTTGGTAGCACGGAAAAGAAGTGCAATAAACAGTGACAGGTTACACTGTATAGCTGTATCTTGCTAACCAGGTTTCAACCAATAATTCATCAACCAAAAGTCTTTCATTTTCCAAGAAAAATTTGTAGCCCCTATTTGGTAAAAATTAAAATCCAGAAAATTTAATATAAGTTAAAGTCGATATCTAATTTTAACCACATATTTTAAAGGAGCCACAACTTTTCAACTACACATTTCATCAACTCTTATGAAAATCTACTAAAAATCTGATTTTAATCCCCACTAAACTGGGGCGTAATAAGAACAAATTCACCCATAAACGGCAAATATGTTTAAACAATCTGACTACACTTGATAACCATAAAACTTGAAGAGCATCCTGAGATCATTTTCTTTCCTTCATTTTCCTTAGAAATTTGTACTACTGATGTACAACCAACATCAAGTGGGACATATAAGTGACTTGTTTTGATGTAGATGACAGTTGGATAAACTGTTCTTGTAAACTAACAGCCACCAATAAATATGTACAATCATTTATCCAGAATTTCAGGTCAAAATCATATGAAAAGTTGCACTAGTAAGTAACCTAAGCAAAAGAATTGCTAAACTACTGAAAACACAGAAATACGTATGCCATAAAAACTAACCAAACGTGCACCCCTACCCCAGGGATGCCACACACTGTGTATACACCAATCCTCCGAATGTCAAAGCAGAGCATATGAATGTGCTACAATTATTTCAAGTGCAATCCTAGTTACCTGTTCGCTGTGTCCCTGGGGAAAATACACAACACGACTCCCGACTTGGGGAAGGGACACCAGAGGGCCTGCGCATGCGTGCCACAGCTCTGAATTCAAGCATTTTTTCTCACCTGCCAGCACCCCCAACCCAGAAAACACTAAAATTAAATATTTCCCATAAAATATATGTAAATTTAATAACTAAAAAAGAAAACCCATATGCATCTACGGAAAGTTTTAAACAAGAAATTAAAATAAAGCATACCTTCCTCAAGCTGAGGATTATAGCCCGCAGAAGAAGAGGAGGAGGAAGAAGATAACCTCATATTCCAGAAAAATGAAAGCAGCTAAAGAAATGCCTAATATATTACTCCAAAATACAGACTAAAAATTGTATTTATAAATCAATTGATACTCTTTAACATATGACTTGACCCCCCCAGCCCACCAAAAGAAATTTAAACAGGACCCTCACATATTCTTCGTTTATAACCAGAAAACCCCCCAATCCAGTTTGCAGATTCTTCTCTTTCGCTCGAGGGAAAAAAAAAAAAAAAAAAACAAATGAAGAAAAAATTCTACTACTATGTGAGGCAGATCTCGAAGTATTTAGCAGTTTAGGAACCCTAAAAAGATGCTACAGAGAGCAATGAACCCACAAGAAACTGAGAAACAGAGAAAGCAAAAGAAAAAGCAGAAAATGATGAGTAGCTTTTGTGAACAGTATTGAGATCTCTCTGTAGCGAGAGCGAAAATGTAGCTTCAGATCTTTAAACTTAACTACTTTTTTCTTTTCCGTTCTGGTTTTTATGTACGGATATCTAGAGAGAAAGAGGGTCTGAATTTAAGCAAGCTTGTAGAAGTAAATGGCTATGTGACATATAATTTTGGAAGTATGATATATGTATTACACACTGGAAAAACTTCCACTTCGAAACTCTTTCTTGTTAAAAGATGACTTTGATATACTATTGACAAAGTAGGTAAGAAAACATAAGAATTTAAGGTAGTTAATAATGACTATTTAGATGTAGAAAATGGTGAATTCTAATAATAGGATAGTGATTGATTGTTTTTCAGTATTGACAAAAAATTTTCAAGGATGTAACACCTACTTTAAATTCTTTACATTGACTACGTCCTTGACGAGGTTATCGTTACTTTCAATCTCTTTGCGTCAATTACATATTTTCCAGCATAATAACAGATTTTATCATATTGATTTATACTTTTATCATTGCTAATTTAAATTCTTCTGTTTGTAAAGACATGGCTTAACAAAATCATATCGGATATATACTAATTTTGGCTCTTCTTTTGGTTGCTTTAGCGCTCGACCAAGAGCTACACAGTGCTAGTCTGCATGTATGCCTTTATAGCTAATTTGCTAAGGCAAGGCTATAAATTTTGCTCGTTCAAGGCTTTTGTGGTCAACTGTTTGAAATGTGTCTTTGGAATGTTACAAAGATGAATCAACAAGTCCCATTGGTTAGTTGTATCAATTGTTTGAAATGTTTGTATTTTGGGTCAAAACGATGTATACGACATTCCTACTTTTCAACAACCTCGTAATTAATGGAAAGTAGCTAACAAGTCATATGCACCATCATACAAGTGAATGTGATTCTAGAAGTAACCATTACGTTGTATTTCATTAGGCAACACAGCTCTCTTGTTGGTGTCAATTATTCACTTATATAAGATCTTGCACATAAGATTTGTAGTGTCGTATTTAATTCGGACTCTGAGGTATATAGCACAACTAGACTTCATTCTCTCCTTTGTTGAGAGTATATGTTTGCTCTCAAATAATCTAGCATGCCATTTTTGGTATATGCCTTGACTCCCTTTTTGATCATTAATCTTCAATCCACCATTTATACTATCTTGTCGGTGATATCATCTTATTGCTTCCAATGATAAACGTTGCTAAAATTTATCAAATACCTTCTCTCGTACCACGTCTAGCGAAGAGCTTAAGCTCTTGAAAAGTATACTCAAATACTTATAATTTTTAAAATAGATAAAATAAACTGAAAGATGAGTTTTGTCCATTTCGTTGATTGAAGAAAATTGGAGACAATGCCTACAATTGATGTTCCTATGGATATAAATATTTCATATACATTCAACGTTACAGACATTTTTAATATTATATGTCAGACAATATTCTCTTTTGGTCGAGGTAAAAAAATTTTCAAGTGAGAAGAATGATGCATGACAACTCTTTAACATATAGGATAGTGTTTATTCCGAATAAGATTTCTAATTGTAGAAATGTAGTAGGATTTTATCTTCTTTCTTTCTTTTTTTCTCCTTTCTTATTTAGAACATGATTTTTCTTTTACTCATTTTAAGATTATAATCACTTTAGTCATTAGGATTAGAAAGTTAATTCGCCTATATAAACAAAAATTGTACACTTTTTAAATCACCAAATTCAACACAATTACTTCTTTAAAAAAGTTTTAGTTTTCATAATTTTTTTCTTGTTTCAATAATATTAATTTTGCTTCAACGCCAAAACTCTAAAATGCTATAATAAAATTTCCTACACTATTCATGCAAATGCAATTGATGAACAAAATGCATTTATGAACTATCTAAAAGGCAAAATTAAGGCAATTAAGTGATAGAAATGAGTTGTCTAGTGTTAGGTGTTTGGTTTATAGTATTGAACACGACTATGGCAACAATTACTCAGGTCGACTAGAATGATGGAGCTCTTTTCTTCTAAAAAGTTATCCTCGTAGCATTGCTTTAATCTCTGCATGTTCATTGTAAACATTTCCCCTTTCTAATTAGGACATATGCAATTACATTAGTTTTACCATATGATAATGTTTTGTATAGTCGTAATCCTTCACTAGCTCCAACCATCTCATATATCTCATATTTATATTATTTTGCGTGAAGAAGTATTTGAGACTCTTATTGTCTAGATATGTTACACTAAGTATTCGCTTAAATAAGATCTTAGTCATTACATTTGTGATGTCACACCTAATTTGTTCGGACTCGAAGTATATATATTATTCCAAGAACTCGAAGAATACACAAAGTATACTTCAAAGAATATCACTGTAAAATTACAGACTCGAAAAATCTATTGACACAAAGATTTCATCGACTCATGGGCTCAGTAACCATTGTACCCTTCTGTACAAACTAGGAGACCCAAAATATACACAAACCCTACACAGGAAAATCGAACGCAGTTGCTTCGACGGACCAATAGGAAAAACCCCCTTTATAATAGCAACTCTTATCCCTTTCACAAGAATCACTAAGATTCACACAGAATAAACTCTGAATTACTAAAAAAATCAAAAAAATCACAAAGAAGACGACTCAGAGAGAGAACCAGAAAGTCGGCCTTTCTAGAGAGTTCAGGAGGCAAAAAGAGAGTTCGGGCAAAATTAACATTAGCTGATCAATAAAAATTTACTCTAAGAATTTTATTCATCTGCATAGGGTTCGCAGGGAAAACTTTAGCCACAAAATTTATAAATTTGTTGTCTTTTTACCTATCCTCTCGACATTTGCCTCACATATGTGCCACAAAATTTTTTCGTCTGCAAAGGTTTTTTTCCCATAGATATGAACTTTTAGCTACAAATTAATTTTGTTGGGAAAACATAAATTTCTTATAGTGTCGGACTCGGAGTATGTATAGACTTCCTTTTGTTTTATTCTTTAGAGAGTAAATATTTGTTCTCTAGTAGTCTTGCATGCCATTTTCACTATGGCTATTTGCTCTCTATTAATCTTGCATGCCATTTTCACTATGCCTCGACTCCTTTTTGGTATTTTATCCATTATATTCATCTCAATGCTTTCGACTACAAAAGTTGCTAAAAATTGTCAAATGCCTGCTCTCGTAGCGTGTCTAGCAAATCGCCCAAGCTATTGAAAATTACACTCATAAGTAAAGTCACTTATAAATAAGTTTTAAATAAGAAAGCATTAAAGTTCAAATGAGTTAAACTGAAAGATATGAATATTGGTCCATTTCGTTGATTGAAGAAAATTGGAGACATTGTCTATCATCCTATTTTACGAACATTTCATGTACATTCCATGTTGCAAAGACACTATTTTAATAAATAGGATGACAACAAACTCGACATCGAGTTTCTTCAAGTGGGGAGAATGATGCATGACACTGTTTTAATAAATAGGATAGGAATTTATTCTAAACAGGATTTCGTGTTATAGTAGGAATTTAGCTCTTTTTTCTTTCTTGTTTAGAATATAGGGTCCATTTGATTGTGAATATTTTTATGGAAAATGTATTTTTTCTACCTAAATTCCTACTTTTGTACTATTTGACTGACTTTTTTTCATGGAAAACATTTTCCTACTTTTGGTTACGTGACTATATTTTCCTTAAAATTAAGGAAAATATTTTTTTTTAGAGGGAGTAAGATTTTATTTTTCAGGAAATTCACTCTCTCTTACTCTCTTTCATCAATCCACTCTCTCTAATTTATCCACCAATAAAATTCGGACTATTATTATACATTTTACATTGAAAATTAAATCAATCAAACATATTTAATTGACAATTTTCATGCAAATAAGTTCCAAGCAATTAAATTATCTAGAATTTTTTTTTCCATGCGAATATCATGCATACAATTAAACGAACCCATAATTTTTCTTTTATTGCTTTTACGAATTTTAATTACCCGCTCATTAGGATTAGGGAGTTAATTTGTTTGTATAAACAAAGGCTTGTACATTTTTTCAATCACCAAATTTAATACAATCAAATTATTATTATTATTTTTTAAAAAGTTTGATTTTTTAAAATTCCTTCTTGTTTCAGAAATTTTAATTCTCCATCCTCATACAAACTTAAAAGAGCTAAAATTTAAAAATTTCCTACACTACTCATGCTAATGCATTTGGTGAACTAACTAAACAAGTCAGAAGGCAAAACATTGGGAGAAAATGGGTTGCCTATTATTAAGCATTTGATTTATATTCTCGAACTCAACTATGGAAACTATAACACAGGGTCAACTAGAATGATGGAGTTCTTTTAAAAAAAAACAAAACAAAACAAACAAGGTTCTCCTCCATGTATATCTTTAATATCTACACATTCATTGGTAAAAATCTCTTCCTGCTTAGGACATTGGCAACAATGTTAGTTTTATCTCGGTAGTAATGAATTATGGTCATAATCATTCACTAGCTCCAACCATATTCTAAATCTCATATTTATATCCTTCTATGTTAAGAAGTATTTGAGACTTTTATTGTTCATGCATACATACATATATATATCACACTTCAGTCCATACAGATAATGATGCCATGCTTTAATCGGTCAACTACAGCAAGTTCCAAGTCATTTTCTGCAGTTGATAGGTTCTCCAAAAAAAATCTTTGGTAGATAGCTGCTAGTAGACAAATTTTATTAAATTTTTCATCTTCGTCAACTTTCGTTGTCCGTTCGAGCTTGCATTAAATGATTCTAGAAGTAAACTTGTGCTCATCTCTTAGGCTGATGGATTTTGTAATCTTTAACATTATATTCTCTGTTCTGCATGATAACTTTGTTTTATGATTATATCCATATGCAGGCTGAAAAAAGATGTGTAAAACTCTACTTCACGAGGCCAAGCTGAAGAGAAACATGAAGAGTGTGGAGAAGAAGATGGCTGAAGTTTCAAGGAAAAGAACATGGGCTCAAAAAGTTAATTGAACTGAAGTAGGTTGAAGAAGAAAGGAAGCAAACTATTACTTGATATATTGTTGGAAATTGGGTTAAAATTGAAGGAAAATTTTTAAGTGGTAAAATCAAATAGATGGAAAAAATGAGTTTCATATCAACTTAGGCCAAATGTTCGGACTTGATCTGATGGTCAAACTACAAATGT